CCTCATTTATTAAAAATACCAGCGTGATCGTGACGGAGGGGATTGACTGGAGCAACACGGAAAGTACTTACTGCAAACCAGCTTAGCACACAATCCGAACAATGTCCATATAAAAATAAAATTTCTCTCTTGGTTTGTGGTTGTTTCCTTTTCCGAGCTGGGGCCGGGCTGGTATGCAGGAAGAGGCGAAGGCATGTGAGCTATGTGTTCTGTTTGTCATCACAAGAGGAGCCAAGGGGCAGGCCGGGGCTGCCCGGGAGCACTGGAGTGGGCCTTGGAATTCTAGAGTGAAGACTCCTCGATAAGAAAATGCAGAAAGGCGGGGGCTGCTTGTGGCCTGGCTTCCGCTGCTGGAGGAGAGATGACAAGGGGGACGGTTTCCAGAGCCGCCACAGAAAGATGGCAGCATTCTCCATTTCACACAAGTGCGGATGTCAGCAAGTAGAGCAACCGAACCCCTATCATCTTGGTACCTTCTAAATATGGTTTCAGAGGTCCAAGGCAAAGCACCCGGTGGCAAAGCTAAGTGGTATGTATCATCAGGAAATGCTGTGTGAGTGAATCAACTATGTCCCTCTTACTATAATTTCTAATCTCCCATTTCCCATTAAAAAAACCTCTTTCATTATTTTGCCATCCATGATTTACCTAGAAAAGACAAAGCAAGAGCTGGCCAGATAGCTCAGCGGATTACAGCACCTGCTTAGCCAGGTACAGGGACCGGGGTTCAATCCCCAGCGTGCCCTGCCAGCACCTACCCCGGGGTGCACTGAGACAGCGATTGAGACTGGGTGTGGTGGCGCATGCCTGTAATCCAAGTTCTTGGGAGGCTGAAAACAGTAGGATCACTACTAGTCCAATCTGTGTAGTGAGACTCTGTAGACCTTATTATATAAGTTATATATATATAATATATATTATATATATATGCAGAGATCGCTTTCAACAGCCCAAAGCTCCCGTGACCCCATCCTCCTCCCCGCACCCACCGCGCAGGGCTGTTTGCCCATGTTGGTGCTTCAGGACAGCTAAAGCAACCCCCAGGGAGTCTTCAGTGGTACTCTAGGGGCCGTGTCCTTGCCAAACATTCCTTTTCAGCGAGGGGGCGTTTCCATTCCCTGGTAAACAATCGCCAGCCGGGGCACAGCCAAAAAGGGTGCCTGTCCCTTTTCACAAACTCCTCTTAGTCCAGAGCTGAGTCCAACCCCAGAGGCGTCAGTCTGCTCTATAAATTCTTTTGTGAAACTTGAGAGCCTCTTCTCCAAAAGAGAGCGAAGATCTTGGAGGGGTTACAGTTTCCTTCTTGTGAAAAGATCCGCTTGAGTTGGCAGCAAAACAGTGTGTTTCCCAAGCAGACTCGTCCCTTTCCAAGTGAATTTAGCTCAGAAAGCGCTGCCACGCTCCCTAAGAGGGAGAGGTGAGCTCACCTCCCGCAGGTCTGCACAGAGAAAAGAGGACAGCTGCCCGAGGTTCTACTTAAAGTGGCCTCAGCCTCTGTCTCAACCAGTCAGGTTGGAGGGACACGGCTCTACTTCTGGAGGCGACAGCTAAACAGATGCTCAGCCATAAAGTGGAGTTGGAGGTGGGGTAGGAAGAAGGGATCAAAAGAATTCTAGAACAGAAAAAAGAAAGAAGGGAAAAATTTGTGCAGATGTGCCGCTACTGCAGTACCTTCTCCATCAAACTCTAGGGTCATTTTTATGTTACTCCTATTTTAGCCATTTCTTAATATATGTTTCCTTAATACTATAATTTAGAAATGATGTAATAAGTCACCAGATGGCACAATCTCAGGAAATCATCTTTTTAATACAAGATGTCATTTTGCTGATACAATGACGAGAGTCAGCTCTTGGCTTATTGCAAGATTCAAGGTCACCACTTGCCTCCGATAGTAAAGCGGGGGCTAATGACCTCGTGGGTTCCCGAAGGTTAGTTGATGTTCTGACTTTGCTATGAAGGTAAGGGGTCTTCTGACTGGCATTCACGTTTCCAGGTTCTCCTCAGCAACATCTCCGTGCCATCTGCAGTTCTGCTGCGGCAGGTGGAAAAACACAGTCATGGCTCAGCCATTTTGGCCAAGTGTGTCCTCTTTGCCCAAGTTTTTGCCCAGTGGGATTTGCCAGAATCCAGTGCAGCTGAGACAGCACTGCCCACAGTGGCCTTATTCTGTGGCATTCCTGTGGCTCCAGGGAGCCGCTCAGAAATGCTGACTGTCGGGGCGCCTTGCCAGCCGGCTGGCCACTCCTGGCTTCTGTCCTCTCCCTCTGACCCCAAGCTGGGGCTGCCTTATTTTTTCATGTACTTGTCATTAAACGCACGTTTCTGGTCTAGGTACTAAGTACCAGGGCTGCTCTAAGCACTTGGCATACGTCAGTGGGAGGAACAAACCTTTCTTGCTTAATGGAATTTGTAGTGCTCCTGGGAACTCTATAAACAATTATTTTACGAAGACGTTTTCTTCATTTTTAAGTTTTGAAATGTGTGTAAAAAATTGGAGGAATAGTACAATAGCACACCCGTGTGCTCTTCAGCTAGATTTACCAATTGAAAACACTTATAGCTGTACGTTCTTCTTTCACACACATTTTTTTTTTGCTTAACTATGTGAAAGCACATCATTCCTAAATACTTCAGAAATGAAAACCACATCTCCTAAGAATGAGAGCATTGTTGTACATTACCACAAAACCATTATCCTACATAAGAAAACTATCATTAAGTCAATAATACTGTCTAAAATTCCATCCATATTTTTCCAGTTGTCCTTCTGTATCTAAAATGACAGGATCTAACCAAAATTCATGCTCCATAAGTTGCTTTTAAAGAGAACCATCCCTTGATTCTTTCTGTTTTGTTTTTGTTTTATGTTTCTAGTCACTGACCCTTTTGAAGAGTCCATGCTAATTATTTCGTTGACTGGCCTACATTCTGACTCTATCTGAATGTTGCCCCATGATTGGATTCAGGCTAAGCATTTTGGCAAGAGTTTTATTTAAGTGATGGTGTGTTTTTCTTACACAGCAAATGCATGGCAGGCTGTCCAACAAGAACAAGCTAAAGAAACGTCTGTTGAATGAGTAAATTATATACATATGAATATAACCTCTTCGGGCGTCACCCCTGTTCTGATATTGTAATTAAGGCACCAGCCTAGACCACACCAAAGTCTTCTTTTACCTTCTCAAGTAAAAAGTACTTACAAAATAGGTACCAGCAGAGGGGCAAGTTCATGGAGGTTTCAATGACATAAACTTCAATTTTGACTTTTTTCTTTCTTTGACTAGCCAAAGTCATTACAAAAACTGCTCAAAATACCTTCTTCTGCTACTGTTCTTTAAAATGAGACAAATACCTAAGCTGCCATGTTTAGGTAACCCAAAGGAAACTAGTGTTGTAGTAGGATTCTAAGCACCAGGATGTTTGCAAAAGGAAGTGCTAAATTAAGAGGATCCTACCCACCACCCACCTCAGCTTGGCTCTTCTTGATAACAAAGGAATGGACCCAATGCCTGCTCCATTTCTTCCAACCTTAAACTTCTTGCCAAATAATTTATAGTTAAGATGCCTTGGACCATTTTGTCTTTTATTGAGAAACTCCAAACTACATCAAGGAAAAAAAGTTGTTTCCAATACTTCTTCTTGAAGTCAGAAATTGCATGTTAAAAATAATTCTCTCCTCCTGTAATAAATGGCTAAAAACATTAAATGGATTTTCTTCTACTTTTTCAGTCACTGAAGCACTTATCTCTCACCCCAAGTGGATTTGCCATGTAATTGGATGTGAAGCAATTCCAAAGTTGCATCAAAATCTTTTCAGAGTGTTGCTATGACAATCAGACTTCTTTTTAAAAAACTGCTTCAGGCCCAACTATCTATCATCCATTGTCCATTCAGGGAAGTTTCATCTCATGAATTAAGTTTAGCCTTTTAGAGAGCTGAGGGGGCATCATTATGCATTCACATTTTTAACTGACTCTGCTCCACGTACCCGTTCTTCTTGAATGTGTACTAGATAGCCCAGTGTCCTCACTGGAGCCTCAGAGTTTGTGTCAAAGGCTCTGCCTAAGGCTATGGGCATCAGCAGAGGAGGACTCAGCAATAACCTATTGTTTGGGAAAATAAGAATAGTGAAAGTCGCTGACAGCCGTTTCTGGCCACTTATTGCAAAAGCAAGAGCTTCTTGGGGCTTCTCTGAGGAGCAGATGAGGGAGGAGGCTTTATCAGAATCTCTAATCTTTTTTTTTTTTTTTTTTTTTTTTTTTTTTTAGCAAATGAGGAGTTTGGAAAGTATATTCAAAATTGTCATTGCTTTGATAAGATTTTGGTTCCAAGTTGGTTTTTAAATTTCTATTCATGCTAACAGAAAATGTAATATTTTTATGTTTATCAAAGAGAACTTCTTTAAAGACAGCTGATGTCCACCAGACTACGGGAAGTTTTATAGACCATTTCTGATTTTATTTATTTATTTATGTAATTTTTGTGGCCGGCTCAGCCACCCTGGGGGCGGGGCTGGCACCAGCATGCAGTGCCGGGGATCAAACCATGGTCCCTGCGCTTTGCTTAAGTTTGCCCAAGCAGGCGTGTTAGACCACTGAGCTATCTTGCTGGCCCAATTTCTGACTTTAGAGGAAATGGAGAATCAGCTTTCCCAGCTGCCAGTTGTGCACAAGTTATGAATGTTGATTTCTACCTTTTGATTAATTTCGAAGCTCCTATGAAATCTTAGAGCCCTATGAATCATTTTGCTGAAAACTCCCTGTTTAATACTTTAGGATTTGAAATTTTTAGAGATGAGATGACTGGCACCAGCGGACATCGCAAAGCCAAGGCTGGAAGCAGGTTGCTGGTTTCTCCTCTGTGCCCTGACACACACCTGCAGTTGCCACCTGCCCCGGTTCCTTGAATTGTGGCACGTGTTGCCTCATCTGTCTGCGGTGTTCACTTAACTATGTCAGTAAAACTGTAAATTCCAAGACAATAAGAATGTTCCTCTTGTATAAACAATGAATGGTGTTTCAGTTCTAATGAAGTGGCACACACTGAGGCTTAATAAATAGTGAATTTTTTTTTTCTAGTGCAGGTGATCAAACAGAGGGTTTGGAGCTTGCTAGACAAGTGCTCTACCCTTGAGCTGTGTCCTCTGTTTGCTTTTTGCTTTTAAGTGGCACTGCATATTGAACCCAGGGTCATTGCATTGAGCTGTACCCCCAGCTCTTTTTATTGTTTATTTGGAGATAGAGTCTTGCTAAATAGCAAAATTGCCCAGATGGCTCAAATTTGCAATCTTTCTGCCTCAGGCTCCCAGACTGCTGTGGTTATAGGTGTGTATCACCATGTCCTTTTTTTTTTCCTTTTCGTTCTGTATTTAGGACAAGGTCTACAGGGTCTCACTATGGAGATTGGATTCGTAGTGATTTTCCTGCTTTCAGCTTCCCAAGTGCTTGGATTACAGGTGCACGCCACCATGCCCAGTCTCAATCGTTGCCTTAGTGTACCCTGTGGGCCCAGCTGGCTGGGCACGCTGGGGATCGAACCTGGCTGCTGTGCTCTGCTGAAGCAGGTGCTTTAGTCTGCTGAGCTATCAAGTCGGCTCTACCACGCTCAATTTGAGTGAGTAAATATTGTGTTTGTTTTCCACAGTCTTAGTAAGGATTGCTGAACTGCCTATCACTTCAAGGGTGTACATTGTACATAATGTATTTACATACATATTCCTTTAAAATTATATACTGGAATGATACTCTCAATGCTGGGTGAAAAGGAGAACCAATTGGAAACATTTTTTAAATGCCAAATCTTTAGGGATTTGGCTTTCATTAACTTGGAGAGAGTCGTGGGCATGAACTTTTTTTTTAAAAGACAAATCTTCGCAACTTGATTCTAACATGTACCCAGCCCTTGGAGTGTCTTCCTCAGGAAATGTTAGTTGAGTTCCGTCTCCCTGAGAAACTGCCCTTGTTAAGGTTAGTTAGCATTTGAAAGATTTTAATAAGCTTCTCCCACTCCACAGGAGGCAACCCCAAGCACTTCACCTCTGAAGACTGTTAATTACCATTAGAAATGGTACTGTTTCTAATGATTAAAAAGAGAATTGAGATGTGTGGTTGGGCTAGAAAAGATTATTAACAATCCTGCTGTGCCTCAACTAAATATTTATTTAGCACTATTATGGGTCAGACACTTTTCTATGTCTTTAAGAGTCTTACGCCCATAGTAAGTGGTAGGAGCCTCCAACCCTGTATTATTCACACAGAGTGAACTGAAGTCATTTGCAGGAATGTCGTTTCATTCACTTCAAGTAAATCATTGATGCTGGACAGGGGCTGGGCTTTGCTGAGTTTACAGAACAACTCATGCGATTGTGCCTGTTGCCTTGCATGAATTAATATGCACGGCAGAATTCACACTGAGACATCCCTTACTGTATTAGGCACCTTCTCTAGGGTCTGGGAGTGAGATCTACAGTCTTCACCTGTCTCTAGTGTTTAAAGGCCTCCAATGTTGCAAAAAAGAACTTTCCATTGTGGGGAGCTCAGTTGGCCCAGAGCAGTCTGGGTGAATGTCTAACCTCGAACTCCAGTTAAGAGAATTTTAGTCTTGATTCTGTTCTTTGAGGGGAGATGAAGGCAGATGCTACAATTTTACCTCAAGATCCCTCATACTTTTCTGCATTTCAAATATGTGGTTTCAGGGCTGGGAATATAGCTCAGCGGCATAAGTGCCTGCCTGGCAAGTGCAAGGTCCTGAGTTAAATCCCTGGTACTGGAAAAAAATAAAAAAAAAATTAAAAAAAAATCAAATACATTGTTTTGTTTCTATTTGGCAAATCAGGGGGAAGCAACCTTGAACATTGTTTGCTTTACTAGTACGATCCCTTCTAGAGTTTTCAGACATGTAACTGAGCCATGCTTGGCTGTGAGGATGTGTAGGCTCCCAGGCAGGCTAAGCCAGCCATCTCTGAGCCCAGGAAGGTGGGCAGCTGCTGGGGGTGGAAAGGCTAGCTAGTAAGAGGGCTGGCAGAAGGAACAGTTAGAAGTGAAACAGGGAAACAAGGCGTTCTCCAAGTCAGAGCCTGGCTGCAGCCTCTGGGGCTCTAGCTTTGAGCACTGAGTTGAGTGTTTTAAGGACAAGGACTGTCACTAACAATAAAATGTTATGTGCTATAAGTGCCTTCAATTGCAGCAAATAAAAATGACCACTGTGAAAAACAGACTACATTGTTCAAAAAGGGAGCACATTTAGGTAAGAAATTCTGTATCCATCCATGAAAATCATCTAGTTCTTTAAATTAATGAGATTCTTTTGTAGTGACAGAAGAAGCAGAGCTGGTTAGGTTTTGTGGTGGGGGTAGCAAAGAAGCAGAAATAAAGGAAGGGGGAGCCTTTATTAACTTGGAAAAGACAGGGAGGATCGAGGGCAGGGAGACAGGGAGGCTGAGACTTTAAGGACTTTTGTCAGGGGCGGAGCTTGAGGGGCCGTGACACACAGGACCTGATTGGAGGCTCCCTTGTGTGCATGGAAAGGTAAGAGGAAGTCCTATGCAGGGCTGGAGTGGGGAAGGAGGAAGAAGCGGTCATGGGGAGATAGGCTGTTGTTTGGGGATTCAGCCATGTTGGCTCAGGGCCAGGATGATTTAGCAGTCTGTACTCACGCCAGAACTTACCGGAGCTGAGACATGGTACATGAAATCAGGTTGTGTCATGGTGCCATTTTCAATTCTAGTGTGATAGCAAGAGGTGCTGCAAGCTCTATCTTTTACTTCCTCCAGCTATGGACAGGGTTATAATTCTGATTGTTTGTCTTTTCACTCATAACAATACCTAAATCTTGAGAGGAGAAAGAAAAGACTTGAGAAGCAACATCAGCAAAGCCCGAGGATCATTCTCCTGCTCACTAGGGTGACGGAGGGCTGATACTGTATTGTCAAAGGATTGGCAATTTAACAAAAGGTTTTGTTGTTTTCATTTATTTTATTAAGGCAAAGTTATGCCTAAAGTTGAAACCATAATAAATGTAAAAACAGGAATTTCAGAACTTATCCATTAGATAAACTGTTTTGGGAAGGAAACTTCTGAAAATGAATGGAACTCAACTCTTCTCTAGTTGATGATTCAACTTCATGAATTTGTGAATACAGGTTATTTTAAAAATACCATTTGTCTTATGTATTGTTATGATACTAAATGTATCTATAATCTGTTTTTTTTTTATTTTCTTTATATCTTTTTTTTTTAATGTTTAAACTTTTTTCCTTTTGTGGTACTGGGGATTGAACTCAGGACCTTGTGCTTGCCAGGTAGGTGCTTATGCCACTGAGCTATATCCTCAGCCTCTAGAATCTGTTTTTGAAAAGCCCACTCTCTCCTGTTCTATGAAAAACTTGATTAACATGAGAAAGGCCTGGTAGTGATTTTGCTTATTAAAGCTCACTCCTTTCTTTTAAGTCAGTCCTTTCTACTACCTCACTTTCATGTGTTAATTTTTTCTTTCTTTTTTTTTTTTTTTTTGTATTTGGTTCATGTTCTCACTATGCATCTGGGACTTGTAGTAATCCTCCTGTTTTCAGCCTCCCCAGCACTGGGATTACAGACATGAGTCAAGTGTTAATTTCTGACAAACTTTGTTCGAAGCATATTGACGCCTCCTGCATAGAATCAAACAGATTTGAGAGCTAATTGAGTAACTGGAGAGGGGAGAAGTTTTGGTTAGCCTCCTTACTCATTATGCATCAGATGTTTTGAGCATTCAAGATCCTTTCCTGGTCTTGTCTGGGCTTTGAGTGACTCTGGGTAGACAGTGCTCTAGGAAATCTGATCTGGGCTCAAGAATTTTCTGTTTCTGATGGACAGAATCAACACTCAGGCTAGCATCCATCATCTAGCTGTGTGTTGGCAGCAAGTTCCCTAAATCATGGTGTCCCAGCATCCCTTTCTGTAAAATGAGACCTGTAGTCTAAACTTACTTAAGGGCGTGGCCAACTCTAGGGTTCCAAATCTAAAATCATTAAACAATCCATGATCCTTTCTCAAACAAACTTCCTCACACTCTTCCTCAGTCTGGGTGAGGGCAGGAACAAAAGAACATACCTGGCTTACATGGCTGCTTCTTCCTTCAAGAGACCAGAGGAAATAGGTTAACTGTGTCCATCTCTAAGAAAAGAAGAGATTTCCCTTAATTACCCACCTCATTTTCAGATTAGAACATTAAGAAGCCAGAAGACATGATATATGTGTTACCAGAAGGGTCCCTCTCTGTCAGTGCCTTGGTTTTAGGTGTTAATATCTCTTTCTGAAAGTTTCATCCACTGGCTGATTGGTTTAAGAGGAAAATGAGAGTGGTGGCCATGTTGAACTGTGTTTGAAGAGTGGTAGACACAGAAAGGTCAATGAAACATTTTAATTAACACGCCACTTTCTAATGCTCCTCTTCTCTCCCCATCTCCTTTCTTTTACTGAAAAATACAAGACTAAATAAATAGCTTTGAAGGGGCCGGGGAGATGGCTCAGTAGGATAAGCGCTTGACTGGCAAACACAAGGATCTGAGTTCAATCCCTGGTTCTGCCAAAAAAAAAAAAAAAAAAAACTTTGAAGATAGTAATCTAAGTTTCTCCTTGAACTATGGAAAGACCGAAATATTTTTCAGGGGTTAACGCCTCAGAGGTGAAAAATCAGAAACAGAGGTCTTTGACACCTCTCTCCAAAGTGAAGTTTGTCACCTTTCTGGCTGTGCTTCAAATCTTATACAAAATGACCGTGGTGAATTCCCTGGAGTGGGGCTTGGAGATCTGTGTGTGAGTGTGTGTGTGTGTGTGTCTGTGTCTGTGTCTCCAAGTATCTCAGAGTCGCAAAGTGGTCCACAAGTGCTGTACCACTGAACTATACTCCCACCCCCAAATCTGCATTTTCAACAACTTCACAGCATTTGAGATCAGTGTCTCAATGACCTAGTCAAGGTTGTGGTATTGCTAATAGCTGGCCTCATATAATCTGTCTCTGGATTACTCTGATCTATTTTAAAGAAAAAAAGCGCTGCAGTCAGCACGCTGTTCTAGAGCACAGTGTGGGCTAATTATGAGCAGTGACGCCATACAATACAAGTGCACTGCTGAATGCTTTCAGTTTCTCATAATGATGGGAAGGTGGCATGTCATGGGGCCATTTTAGCCCCAGGCATCACTGCGAAGAATTCCAAACAGATATAGACAAGTGCCATCAGGACCCAGATCCTTGCAGCTCTGGCTGTTTACTCACAGGAATGGGATGTCCTGAAGCAACACCTCCCCCAAGTGAGGTGCTGAGAAGTCTGTTATCAGAAAGATATTACTGGCAGTGCGATGTGCAGCACACTCACATTTTCTTGATAGGTCAGTCATGAAGGCTGACAAAGAAGGAAAAAGCCCAGTGATGTGGTGCAATCTCCACAGACAGCTGTCCCCTGGCTTCTCGATAAATAAGATGACTCACATTGCTGAGCGGTGTGGTCACTGCCAGCGGAATGGCCCTCTCACATTTCTTCCTGATTCACATATTCAGTGGGGCGAGCTTGTCATCCCCTCCCTCGCAGGCTTCCCAGACACCGAGTCTGGAATGAAAATTCACCTGCCTCTGAGTTGGCCACTGTTGGGGGAAGGGGTGTCACTCGGGTTCCCAGGTTGGAAGATTATCTCACCCAGCCTAAGCTATATAAGCTCACTGAGGTGGGGCAGCGCAGCAGGGCACGCTCCCGGGCTTCATTCCACAGGAGAAAAACACAGACTCCCAGCTGCCAGCATGATGGTGCTGAAAGTTGAGGACCTGGTATGTAAGACATGATTTTTCTGCAATGAAAACTGGTTCATTTTAGGGTTGAGTTATAAGCTGAAGTGCACTTTTCTTTCAAGCAAAATGTCATATATGGAAAAAGTTGATTTATGTGATAAAAATAGTGAAATTGGAAAAAAATGGAGCTGCCAGGAATGATTTCTGTGCATATTTCCTACTTATTATCTTTTCCTTTGGTTTTGTTACCATAGTGCAGTCAAATGTAGTTAGCTAAGTGCCTCAGGGTAGATGATGTTTTAGTGCAAGAATAGAGGCTGGAAACTTTATGACTCAAGGCTAAGAGTTATCAAAATCACTTAACATGAAGGAGTTTTAGAAGGAGGTTTGTAAATTTTCTGGGAAAAAAAAATCAGCCTCACTTAACCCTTGATTCACCAAGGGAGTGGGTCAAGGCCCTGAAGCTGATCCTGGGATGTCTGTAGCGACAGGGTGCAGCCCGAGAAGAGAAAGCGTACTGCACAACAGGGGCGGCTGTCACTGGGGAAGGAAGAAGGGTGGTCCTGTGGCATCCTTTGTAGAGAAGGGCCCCCAGGATAGGTACCATTGCTTTTGAGCCTGAAATCTTCTCTTGCAGGTCACAGGAAAGAAGAACAGCAATGGAGAGGCAAGGGAATTCCTGCCTGAGGACTTCAGAGATGGGGAGTATGAAGCAGCTGTTACTTCGGAGAAGCAAGAGGATCTGAAGACCCTTCCAGGCCACCACATGAACCTGGCAGAGCAGCAATGGAAAAGTGAGAAACAGCGAGAGACAGAGGTGAGAGTCTTCTGTTGACTCTTGTGATGGGAGGGTGAGGTGGCTGGGGCTGGATGTGATGGAAGAGGAGAGAAGATTAAAAAAAAATTAAACCCTACCACAAATGTTTCCTCACAAAATTCTGACCCATAAAGCAGCAGAGGCAGGGTATCTAGAACAGGTTTGGAGGGATACTTAGACAAGAGATGCCCTCTGACTTCTCAGCCAATGGTTTAATGTGCTATCACTAAGTTTTACTTATTTATTTATTTTTAATGTATTTAGTACAGAATCTACAGGGTCTCACTGCTTAGACTGGACTCATAGTGATCTGCGTGTGTTCAGCATCCCAAAGAGCTGGGATTACAGGTGTGTGCTACCACACCCAGTCTCAATGCCAGCTCAGCATGCCCTGCGGGTGGGGCTGGCACAGCATGGGGATAGAACCTGGTCCCTGTGCGTGCCTAAGCAGGTGCTTTAATCCACTGAGCTATCTGGCTGGTCCTTCGCCCAGTTTTTTTTTTTTTTTTTTTTTTTGGAGTGGCTTGCTTTATAAGGTCTGTGAGAACTTTTTTAGGTTTTTGTGGAACCGGGGATTGAACTCAGGCCCTTGTGCTTGCCAGGCAAGTGCTTATTCTACTGAGCCATCTCCCTGGCCCCCTTTGCCCAGTTTTGATTGAAAGGTAAACTTGAAAAGATAACTCTGAGGACCAGGCATATAGCTCAGTGACAAAAGTGCCTACCTGGCAAGCGGAAGGTCCTGAATTCCATCCCTGGTACCAAAAAAAGAAAAGAAAAAAAGAAATTCATTTTGTGTAGTGAGCTTCAAATGCCATACACTGTCTACTTAATCCTAAGCAAGAGACCTCTTTCTTAATAGCATGGTTTTTCCTTCTGTGGATCCTTGTTAGACTATGCCTGTTATTGGTACTGATATAATCCTTGCTACTGAGTGAATTTTCATTACTTACTGACACAGGTAAAAAGTGTACTACTTAGCTGGTCCCAGGACAATCTGTTCCAGAGACCCCCAGTTAGTGGACAACCTGAAAGAGAATGGTATTGATATTTCAGAATTCAATACATAATATTAGATTCTTTTCAGTTAAACATTTTAATGTCTTCTGTAGATAAAGAATTCTACAGATATCTTTGACTTGCTTATGACGTTAATTTCAAAATCACAACTACAAACTAGATGGGCTCTCCAATTGGTCAGGGGCTGATTCTATGATCAAAAGAAGTAAATATGCAGGCATTTAGTTGAAAATTAGGCCTCCAAATACATGAATGTGAAACATTAAATTGAAATAAAAAATTATTTAATTTTTTTTGCTCAAACCATTCGCATACTTGTCTTAGACCTTGCAGGCTTTGTTTATGCACCACCAGAATGCATCAACTCACTCTATTTCTGAAATCTGAATTTCTTTTTTAGCTCAGAAAGAAAAAGTTAGAACAAAGATCAAAGCTTGAAAATTTAGAAGACCTTGAAATAATCATTCAGCTGAAGAAAAGGAAAAAATACAGGAGAACTAAAGTTCCAGTTGTGAAGGAACCTGAGCCCCAGATCATCGTAAGCATTGTTTGACTTTGCAGCCTTTTGCATCAGGTGTTGAGCTACAGGGGAGCAATTATAGGTGGAGGGCGGCATCAAATGTTGGAAAGCTCATAGTAATTTTCACACTATTTTGGGGACTTTAGACAGAACCTGTGGATGTGCCTCGGTTCTTGAAGGCTGCTCTGGAGAATAAACTACCAGTAGTTGAAAAATTCTTGTCAGACAAGAACAGTCCCGATGTCTGTGATGAGGTAAGGCTTATAAAAAAATACCCCAAACTACAGCTCACTAATTCTGTGTTTATGATGCTGTACTGCAGCCTTGTGGTTACGGCGCTGAAGTCCTTCTACCTGAAACAGCTCCCCCGCTGTTGCCACGTATGCCAGCGCCTACTGAGAGAGTGCAGTAGTCCTCCTCACGCCTCCCAAATGGTGCAGCAGTGCACAGTGCAATGTGTGGTTTTTTTTTTTTTTAGTACATATATAATTTGGGATGATTTCTTCCTTTGTCTTTAACTTCTTAGATTCTTGGGACAGAATTTAAATAAGGCAAGACTAAAAAGCTAGCACCATCTTTGGATCCAAGCACATCAGCAGTAGACAGGGAATCTAAAGGCCAGAGTTCAAGCTCTAGCTTTATCACTATGTGACTATCTTGTTCTGAATGGTTCCTTTGCACTCTATCAGCACCAGTTGCATTTCCTGCAAACATGGGCTTGGAGTAAAATAATGTTCCAAGTTATTTCCATCCAGATAGTCTATTAGCTTATTCCTAGGAAGCCAACTCACTAAAAGTCACCAATCCTTTTGTGTGTCTGATCCCATTAAATGAAATAGGGGATCACACCAAAATGAGTCTTCTGCTTTCTGAAAAATGAATTATGGATTTTTGACAGCAACTTAGCAATTCTTCTAGATGGAAGAATGCTGGATATATATGACAAATGTTTCATGAACGAGAATGGTGCAAAATATAAGAAAGAGAAATGTCAGATTTACATAGTTTTGAAGCTTCATGTCCACGTTCCTCTGTGTAGTCTTTCGAGTGCTTACAAGCACTTGGGGCAGGAAGCTCAAATCACAGTTGCAAGATAGTTGTTCTAATTCTGCAATTCTAACTAACTTTGACAATGCTAGTTCATGAAGAAATGCTAGAGTTTCTATCAGTTAGGTCATAAGACTCCTCAGTTTCACGACTTTTAAAGGATCATGATGCTCATGTATATAGACATCACTATCTTCTTTTTAAAAATCTCCGACAGTATAAACGGACAGCCCTGCACAGAGCATGCTTGGAAGGACATTTGGCAATCGTGGAGAAGTTAATAGAAGCCGGAGCCCAGATTGAATTCCGTGATATGGTAAATATACTTCTTGGCTTGGAGATGAGCCAACATAAACAGACCAGATTGAGCTCTAGAAATCCTACAGTGAAAAAGTGGGCTGATTGGATTGAAATTGATCTGAGAGAACTAGGCAAAACCTCATTTCTCCATACAAAGGCAAGTAGGGAGACAGGGCCAGGTCGTGTGGAAAGTATTTCTCATGCATACTGAAAAGGAGAGAGTTCCAGAGAAGAAAGGAAGTGGGGCTCTGGAAGAGAATTTGATAACCTCATCAAAGAGCGGGGTCATTATGGAGTCAGCAGTATTGTTCAGAAGCAGCACAGTAAACACTTGCCTTTCAACACCTCGGCCTCCCATTATGCTCAGCAGCCTACCTTTTGCCCTTTGGCCGCCAACAAGGGCACAAATGTTTTAGCGGCACAAGTTACATGTTAGATGCCAACTGCTATGGAAGAGATTTGGAGCTAGACTGCATGCTAAATGAATTGCATCGAAGGAAAATAGCTGCTATTCAGACCTTAGTAATTCAACCTCTGTTGATTTCTACAAAGACCAGTATGCAGCATAGTCTGTGAACTAAAGATTGAACTGGGAGGAGGCTTCATTTATTTAAATGGAAGGGTTGGTGAGATAGCTCAGTGGATTAAGCACCTGTTTAGGCAAGCTCAGGGACTGGGGTTTGATCCCCAGTGCTGCATACTGCTCTGGCCCTGCCACTGGGAGCACTGAGCGGGCCACTAAGTCCTGGCATGGTGGCTCATGCCTATAGTCCCAGAACTGGGGAGGCTGAGACAGGAGGATCACTACAAGTCTGAGCTGCATAGTAAGACCCTGTAACAAATACATTTAAAAAATGGAGCTCAATTTGACTTAGGGCAAAATGGAAAATGAATAGCAAAAATACAAACCCAAAAAACAAAACAAAAAAAACCAGAACAAAACAACAAAAATCCAAAGGACTTGGCCAAAACTGAACCCCAGACACACTGAAAAAGTACAAAGAAACAAATAATAATAAAGCTTTCATGGAAAGGCACCAAAACCTGTGTGTGGGCCCTGAAGGCCAGAGCAGCGACACAAGCTAAATAGAGGAGCAAGTCCTACACAGGTCAGGGCACGCACAGGGACTGCCCTGATGATAGTGGAAGGATAAAGGCCACTCCAGCATAGTGACACCGGAGAACTAGCAAGAAGGGGGTGCAGAGCACCAGGTACGGTAGGTGAGGGGTCAGACCCAGATTGAGAGTTCGGAAAGGGACTGCCTTTTTTTTTTTTTTTTTTTTTGTATTTAGGACAGGGTCTACAAGGTCTACAGAGTCTCACTGTGTAGATCAGACTTGTAGTGATCCTCCTGTTTTCAGCCTCACAAGCGCTTGTCACCATGCCCAGTCAGTCCGGCACGGCACGCCGGGAATCGAACCTGGGCCGCTGCACTCTACCTAAGCAGGCACTTTAGTCTGCTGAGCTATCTAGCTGACCAGAACTGCCTTTATTCTGCCAGAATTTTTAAATGCTCATGTTAGAAATTTTCAATATATTTGAAAAAAGGAGTTAAAAGTGAGTTTGCTGGGGCCGGTGAGATAGCTCAGTAGAATAAGCACTTGCCTGGCAAGTGCAAGGGCCTGAGTTCAATCCCTGGTTCCACAGAAAAAAAGTGAGTTTGCTTATCTATTTCTCTGCTTACTACATGTCCTTGGGTAAAATATGCACGGCAACACCATTTCATAGTTTGGTGACAGAAGTTATAACACTATGTTGATAAAAGGAAATTCAATGGTATTTTCATTTTTAAATTTTTTATTAATTTAAATTTATTATATTTATCAACTTCATTATACACATACAAACACACCTGAGTGCATACACACGTATTCATGGTTTACTAAACCGTGTAGCAAGAAGCTGCAACACAGTGGTTAGAACTGGCCACGTGAGGAGGAGGGGGCAGGACTACCACAGATACCCCAGCAAACCTGCCTTCTGCTGGCCTTACAAACTACACGCAGACCCCTTGACTAGATGCTGTTTTACATTTCTTGTCCTTTCATCTTCCCATATAGCTGGAATCCACAGCCATCCACTGGGCGTGCCGTGGAGGAAGCCTGGATGTCTTAAAACTCTTGCTGAACAAAGGTGCAAAAATCAGCGCCAGAGATAAGGTATTCTCCCCTGCACCACCTTCCCTCTGCCTCCTTCCTGTCCACTTCCTAATCCCACCTCTCCACTGAGGTCTCTGGAAGCCCATTCATGTGGGCGCCCTGATCATGTCTCCCTAATACCTGCCTGGGGCTCTGGGGTGACCCTTGCGCTCACACCAGCCCCACAGAAGTGCTGTCCCTCTTTCCAGCTGCTCAGCACAGCGCTTCATGTGGCCGTGAGGACGGGCCACTTCGAGTGTGCGGAGCACCTCATTGCCTGCGAGGCGGATCTCAACGCCAAAGACCGAGTGAGTGGCCTGCAGTATTGCTATCACTTAAGCAAGCCCGGGGGGCTCTGGAGAGCCACTTCCCAGTTGCAGGCCTCCCACTAACCCGGTTCCTTGGCCTCTCTAGGAAGGAGACACCCCTCTGCATGACGCTGTGAGACTGAATCGCTATAAGATGGTCAGACTTCTCATTATGTATGGCGCTGACCTCAGCATCAAGAACTGTGTAAGTGCTCGCACAAGAAATGCCACTCGTGGGTTTCTAATTCCTAGAATTTCTTAAATACTTAAAATAATCCCCCGATAGTATTATTTTGAGGGACGCACCAGTGGTTTAAATGGCCCTGTCCAGAATATGTGGCGAGGATTGGGGTCACACATTCAGAAATATTGAATGCCGTCACTACCACTGTGAGTTCTGTACCTAAGGCAGCACATAATAAATCTTTTAAAAGTTGGTCTTAAAGATAAAAGATCATCAAAGTTGCGCACCTTTGCAAACACCTATATTGGGGAAGTCTAATCTGTCTTGGTCATTTCTGACCGCCTTGGGCAAGGGCTCGTTAGGAATCAATACAACCACCATTCTCTGAATGGCCTGAAATCCCACCATGCTCATGGACCAAAGGAACTAAAATTAGTGGATGTTCTATACTCAAGCTGGGTAATTTATTTATTTATTTAGTACAGGGTCTACAGGGTCTCACTACACAGATCAGACTGATAGTGATCCTCCTGTTTTCAGCCTCCTAAGTGCTGGGATTACAGGTGCACACCACCACACCTAGTCTCAGTTGCTATCTCAATGCACCCTGGGGGTGGCACTGGCAGGACACACCAGGGATCAAATCCCAGTTGGGATTGAACCCTAGTCCAGATTGAACCCCAGTCCTTGTTTCTGCCTAAGCACGAGCTTTAATCCGCTGAGCTATCTGGACAGATCAAATTGGGTAGTTTAGAATAGTGCTTTTCTCCTTGTAACTATGTTATACATTACTACTTACTTTCAGGGTAGCCATGCTTTTACCTATATTTTTCAGGTAACTTCCTTCCATCCTCTACTTGGAGTTATCTGTAAATGTCTTAAAATAATTTTCTATATTATCCTGAAAATTTTGTGCAAGTAAATAATATAATTTAATTTCATTTGTAAGCAGAAACTAATGGCCTCAGTTCCCCTAAAATATCACCTAACATAATCTTTACAGATACCATCAGGAGGGAGAGGTATAATTTATGGAAAAAAATAATTTTAAATATGTTGGAGGATCTCCTTACAACAAAGAAAATGCTATCTTATGAATGCAAATGATTTCCTTTGCTTGTTTGTGTCATTGTGACATTGAGAAAAATATATTTTAGAGCTGGGAAGATAGCTCCACAGTCTAAAGCCTGCCTGGCAAGCTCAAGGACCCAGGTTCCATCCCTGGTACCACATACGCTATCGGCCCCAGAACACTGGGCATACCATGCCAGCCACCAAAACCGGGCTTGCCTGTAATCACAGCGCTGGGGAGGTTGAAACAGGAGGATCACTATGAGTCTGAGTTTCATAGCGAGATCCTGTACCAAATAAATAAACAAATAAAAAGAAAAAAATATATTTTATGATACAAGCAAAAAAGAATTACAAGAAATCTGATTTGGTGACAAGAAAAAAGGATAGAGTGCTAAATGGACCTGTTTGGACTAGAAACACTTCCAGTAGTGTGCCCTTATGCTGAGTACTGTGATTGATCTTGCTTAATAATTTAAGCTATCAGAAAAAGACTTGATTCAGAGAAAGTACTAAAAGTGAAGAAAACATGAAGATTTTTTTTTTTTCAGACAGTGAGCCCTAACCCACAGTCATAAATAGCATCCAGATATGGCAAGAGGGTGTAAGTAGCCAGAGAACCAGGAGATAAATTTCAGGAGAGAAGAATGCAAGGAATTTGTGGAAGATTAGTCGGAAATAAGCAAGCAGGGCTCACACTTCCGAGCTATCAGTTAGCCCTCAGCAGAAGGGACTGGGAGCTATCAGTGTCATGGGCTCAGCAGATTGATGCTCCCTCTCCAGGGAGCGGCTGGTTACTATCTTACAGTGGGTTTGAGACAACATACATTCCATCATTGTCCAAAATGCAGTAGACACACACTGCAGGGTATCCAGGAAAGTCACTGCAGAAGTGAAGTTCCGAAGTGGAGGCTAGAGAGGCACCGCTTCTGCTGTGCAGTCTGCAGCCTCTGAAGGACCTGCGTGGGCGCGGCTGCTGAGACTTCTGCACGCGCCGCAGGGTGGCTTTTCCTGTTGAGCTATGATTGCTCTCTGGAGTCAAAGTACTGGAGCCACGTATTTTGATTGTTTTTTTAAATTCAAATTTTGACTTAAAAAAATTATTTTTCCATGAAGTTCACAAGTTCAGCTGCTAACTCTCTTGATGGCCACCTGTTGCCATTTAAATAATATCTAATCTTTAAAGGTCTTTTCTTAGCTGGCTGTAGTAGTACATGCTTATAATCCCAGCACTTAAGAGGCTGAAGTAGGAAGATTGTTAAGTTCAAGACCAGTGTGGGCAACTCTTAATAGTGAGACTCTATTTCAAAATATATATATTTTTTTTCTTAAAATGTATCTTATCTAATTTAGGTACAAACATAACAGAAATGAGCTGATTTGGATTTTAAAACTTCCAGTTTGTGATAGCTGGGCTAAGAAGATTAGTTCTGAATGAATAGAGATGGAATTACTTAAAACTTCCTATATCCGAAGACAAGAATTGAGAAGTGACATGGTTTTAATATGCACAAATATCTCAAGACCTATGCATCAAGGATATAAATTTTGCCTCAAAAATTATTTATTCATACATGCTATTTCCATAAACCCCAAGAAAAATTTTCTGTAATACAGTTCTTGGAAATGTCCAGTGTAAATCCTGAGACGCAGCAACTGTGCCCTCGGGAGCAGTCATAGGCCAGAGTGACACTTGGGTACTTAGGCCAAGGTACTTGTTTATCCCCACTCCTTATCAATTCAAGACTTTTTTTTTTTCTCCAAAGTGATAGGGTCAAACAAGATATTGCTATCTCCCAGAACCCATTCTGGAGGATATGATAAATATCTAGGCAAAGTTTGACTTTCAAAATGATGGGAGGGTCTTTAGCAGCTAGCGTCTAAGAACCAGAAATTTTACCAGTACGGAGTCATCCTGCCATGGGACTAAGCTAAAATGTCAGAACCATTTTCTTGAGAAATAGTGAAGGGCTTATTTGAATATAAACTGCGAATCATTGCTCATGGAAGTCATGGAGCACCTCGATGACACGCACCTCAGTAGCACACACACCGACCTGACTCACACGCAGTGACGGGTGCCTCCCAGCTGTCAATTTCCTCTTCTCTTTGGTGTAGGCTGGGAAGACCCCGATGGATCTGGTGCTGCACTGGCAGAATGGAACCAAAGCGATATTCACCAGTCTCCAGGAGAACGCGTACAAGACCTCTCGTATAGCTGCTTTCTAGAGGATGCTTCTCTCAGTAGCTGCTTGCTGGCACTTTGAGGGGACGGTCTGAAAGAAGGGGGAGCAGCCATCAGGCCCAGCTTCTGTTGTCAGCCTGCTATGAAGATGTACCTAATGAAGCCTCAAGAAAGCACAGGGTTATAGGTGTTTCCTTTGATGAAACTCACTCTATTTCATTTACTCCTGTTTATTTATTTTATGACACCAATATTCAGACTTTCATGAGCGTTCATTTGGCAAGCAAAGCTTAATTTATCTCTAGCATGTTCAGCAGCCCTATAGTTGTAAGCCGTGTGGGTGAGCAGTGCTCTCAGAGCTTGCTGAGGTGTCCTCAGACACAAAAGAGATTTGAAGGCTTCTGGAAGGACAAAGGTGATAACTGCAGGGGTATTTTCTTCACAACTTTTAATGTTGACGTTTGCATGAGCAGTGGGAGGCACGTAGTAACAGGGCAGGAAACAAAGGATTGAAAGTGATTCCAGGGTAGGGCGGTGAAGCCAGCCGCTTCATTGTTGGGCCGGTTTGGCTTTTTCTTTGACCAAGTGGCGCAGGGTACCAAGGTGCACGAAGGTCAGGAGCGTATGCGCAGGGCAGGCAAAGAGTCACCTCCGGAGCTACGCAGAGCTGCATGTAATAACAAGGATGAAAGGAAATACGAACTGTAAATGTGAAGATGTATATTGAGTTGTCTTTATGTTTTATATTCATAATAAAAGCAAATAAACTCTAAAGCTCTTGTCCGTCAGTGATGATGGTGGGAACGTCCAAGGGAAAAAGGCCATTTAGAAGAGCTTGCTTTTTTAAAGTTTCTTAGATTAGAAATTTCCTGTATAATAGCACTCAGCATTTAAATGTGTATAAAGGTCACCTGGGGGGCGGGAATAAAGATCATTTAGGGATTCGGTTACAGTGAATATTCGGATTCAACCAGTCCCATGTGGGGCCCCGGGGTGTGTAGCGCTTGTCCCAGGTGACACAGGGACCCTGGAATAACCTGCGCTGCAAGGCAGAGGACACAGACACGCAGCATGAAGACGCTTCCAGCTCTGATGCTGTGGAGAAAGAGACCCCTGGTGGGCAGAAGTATTCCTACATGTTAAAGGTGCTCCTTGAAAAGCCATCCCTAAATTAATCCTGCCGCAGAAGCTGGCAGGAGTGAA